GCATCTAATACATTTACAATTGATTGTTTTAACACAATATACTTTTCTTTTCTTTAATCAAATAGGGTTAATTTGGAAAATTTACTAAATAAGTTTCTTAATGTTCAATGTCTGTTTCAGTAAGATCAACTTGTAGTGATAACATGTTGATATCTTCCTAGAATCCCTCATCCATTATTTTTCCATAACTATTGTATAGTCTTTGGAAATCTAGTAGTTTAAGAAACTCATCTGCTTTTTCGTATTTATGTTTACATAATCGAAATATTTACTTGTTTTTATATCGCAGACCGAATCAAATCAAATGGCAGTTAATGATTGCTTCATGTCATCGACGAAGTGGAAATTATCAACAAGCTTTAGAAACATACCGTATTATTCACCGACGATTTCCAGAGAATATTGAGTGTAAGAATGATCTCAAGTATCCTACCAATGTGTTTAGATGTGTTCTCAAAAACAACAATTAATATTTTGTCTATGCAGTATGTAAAGTTAAATGTAGCAGAATTGATCGATGAAAGCGTGTGCATATTAAGTTCTCTTCATAACAAATTCACCCGTGTTCATCAATTAAAACAACAAGCTCTGAAGATTTACTATTTACTTGAGCTTAAAACCTCCAGTTTAAGTAAAACGTCGAGTTAAATTTTATATTCAACCATCTGTTGTTCATTCACTTCAACCTAAAACAAAAAAATATGCTCATCAGTTAACCTACTACTCAATTTCTAAATAGGAGTTATCAAGAAAAACTTTTCCTCTACTAAGTTAAAAACTTCATATCGTTCTTCTGAAAAATTTGACTTGTTTATATTAATATTGTGGATGTAAAATATACTTTTTAAAAAAGCTTACACATCATGTAAATAGTTGATTGAATGAGATAAAGTTTACAGACTAGAAAGTAGGAAATGGTTAGTCTTCGTTTAAAATAACTGCTAAATATATAGATGAGTAAAAACAACTAAGGTAATTATAATACACTGATCATGAGATTGAAACATTAATTAAATCTTGTTCAAGATATTGTAAACTATTTAGGGTATACAAGTATAACAATGGCACAAATAAGTGAATATAGGTTCGGTCATTGTATTTGTTAATATACACCACATAAACATGAATATAATTTACAAACTAGATAATCACTACAGACAAAAATGTAATGAGCATAAAATTTACTCATAACAAAATATCATATTCTTAATCATCTAATCTACTATAACATTTATTTAAAATTATCATGACTCCAAGAGTAACTACTTTTATCAAAATGTAATCATGTATATCTAACTAATCAAAGTGTACACCTAATCCAACTTAAATAAAACTTTTGTTTGATTTGATTTTTTATAGGTCTTCAATTTCTTGTACGATTAAGTTCTGATATGGATTTACCTGAAGCTCAAGATTACATAGCTAAATTGAAACGTGCTGAAAAATTGAAACAAGCTAGAGAACAACGCCGATTGTCATCAAGTAACCGTCGAAGCTTTGGTTTAACAAATACATCCAGAACAACAGGTAGCCGTGAAAATTCAGCCAGTGTTAGCAGTGGAGGTAAATAGAATAAGAAATTAATGTAGAGTTGTGGAAATTGTTGGGTTTTATTAAAGTCATGAACCAATCTAACCCAGACAACCATTGAAAACCTGAAAGTACTAGATGTGCTAGATCGGTTTGTCATTTAAATGAAACTAAACAATATGCACAACCCCATAGTGACAATTATCATGTGTTCACTTGTGACCAACTTCGATAGGAAATTTTCGAAATTCTAGTGAGGAGTCTTGACCATTGGAGCTAATCTGTGCCGGGTGTAAAGAAGGTACCTACTGAAGACAACGAAAAATAGTCACGCAAAATCGTGAATTGGAGTTAGATTAGTACACCATTGTTTGCCGTTCAGTGGTCTAGAGGTAAAGCGTACGCGCGTGAGACCGAAGGTCCTGAATTCGATTCACTGTGGTGAGCCCGTGGATCCAAACGGCGGAGTCATATACTAGAACGAGATGGATATCCAGTTATTTCATGTTTTCACTGGTTATCTGACTTGGATCGGTTCGTAGTTTCGATGAAAGAATAAAAGCTCTCCAAGAAATATTGACTGATTTCTATTGTTGACATTTTTCTTATCATTATTCGCGCAATCTGCAGATGACATCTACTACGTGACAGATTTGCTATATGAAATGAAATAAAATTCGATATACGAAATATTATTTCAACCATTACCACTCGTACACTGAACCAGACCAAATGTTTCATCTATTCGACTGAATATTTTAGAAATAACAATCAGTAGTGATTCATATAAAACCGTAGTTAAATAAATAATGACAGATTACTTTGAACGTGATATAGCATGTGACAAATAAAAATGAGGCTACTGATTCAAACTAAGTGGTGCTTCATTTCATAGGGGAGATGAAACTTTAGACAAAGTTAGCTTTAATATGTTCATCTATATGATCATTGTTAAAATTTTATATTTTTTGTAGGTGAAAGTCGTGAAAACAGTGCAAATTATGACAATCATTTTAATGTCCAATCAAAACATGCACATTCCAAAAATAACTCTTCTCGTCAAACTGAAGTCCGTAAAGAAACATCTCTTAGTAAGGATATAGACAATGAATACATTAAATATAATGATCCACTGGGACCAAGTGTAGAAAGACCAAGAACAGCTGCACGTACTCGACCAATTCACGATGATTTTGCAGACGAAGAAGTTGATGAAAACCTGTTACCAGATTAATTGTTAATTTTTTGAGAAACCAGATAAAAGTCATAGTTTCAATATTATTGTTTACTCTTTCATTATCAAGTGACTTTGTATAGGTTCTTCTGTAATAAAATACTTCTCAATACACTGTAATCAGTGGATATTCATCTAAATAATAAATTAAACCAATCCTTGCATCATAACTGGTGTTTCTCATACATTACATAAAATATTTATGTATTTGTAAACATACAAAGTTACATTGAATGGTTACAAATTCATTTGACGCAATTTCCCTGCCGTTATCATTTTTGTTTTAGTTATCGCGTGAAAATTTCTTAGCAGTATTGAAGCAAGTAAGCACAGAAGCATTGAAAGTATATAGACGGTATTCGAAAAAGATGCTAGCTAACTTTATCACTGGTGGTCTATTCACACGATCTAAAAGTAACCAATGTTTAATCAATGCGTGTATGCATTCGTGTAAGAAACATGAAAATCCTACCAAATTAAATGTAGTAATGAATCTTCCTAAAGCACAAATGGTTTGAAACAATTATAGCATTTTACAGAGGCATGTATTAATGATTTTGACAATGTTGTGTGTTAAAAATGGTGAACGTTTGCATCTGTTATGATATATATACTTCAAAATTGTGTTATTTGCAAATTAGAAAGGTCATTCAATAAAGGTCAGGATGATTAGGAGTAAAGTGTTCAGAATGAAAACGCAAAAAATTGTGTGAATAAAATGCATAATAGGAGAATTTAATCTTATCAATTGAAATAATAATAATAAGATTGATGTGTGAATATAATATGTAATAAGGGGGGTGTTATCAAGGTAATGACGATAAACGAATTGGGAATGATGGATGTGAAGATAAAGATAGAGGTAATCAATAATAATAATAATAATAATAATAATAATAATAATAATAATAATAATAATAATAATAACAATAATAATAATAACAAGGAAAGAAAAAGAAAAATAAGGCAAGGGGGTAAGAGGTTTATTACATTCAGTCTAGGTATTCGGTGATCCAGTAGAGCCTGATGATGAAGTTAATGAAAACAATTGCTCGCTCAAATATTCTTCATTTTTGAATATTCTATAGGGATTTTTAAACTGCACAAATATAACAATAAAATTTAGGCTGCTTCAAGATATACAGGTGTTACTAATGAGTGCAGTGTAATAATGAGTAAAAGTGGGGTTCATCTGTTACGTCCTATGTGATGGTTTATCAGACAGTCAGAGAATGAGGCTACATAGATAGTAATTTTTCTAAATGAATATGTTTCTGGTTGGCCAAAACATCTTGGATAACTACATTATATCATACGCTAAGAACGTATTTATTACCTAACTAAGCATAATTGTTTCATGGATCCCAATCCAATGACGTTTAAATAGAGTAACAAGAACTATAATTTACAAGTGAATTATGTTATGTTATTAACCGAATATGTCAAGGGTCAAACAGTTACTTGAATTCCTACAAATTATCATGCTTAAGTCTTAGTCTATAAATATCTCATAATTCCTGAATGAATACTATTATTTTATATCTGCGTAAAATTATATTTCTAATGTGAGGATTGTTGTCATTACATTAATTTATTTGAAACTTCATTTTTTTGTGAGATTGCACAAACTCACTGGTATGCAAATAAGTGAATGGGTGATTTATAATACAAGTGAAAGTGTTGAGAAAGTGTGTGTTGTTTCTAAATGATTAATGAAATTTCTTAGTTTGTTTATTAGTTCTTTTGGATTGAAGTTGAAAAATATATAATAAAGGTATTCATCCATATGACCGCATAGCATCCTTGCTTGAAAATCTATACGGTTTTGTAAGTACAGTTGGAAACAAACGACGCACTCACAAAACTTTTCTTTCTCCTCTTTTGATATACTTTTGTCTGGATATAACAACTCCCAGGTTTTAATGGTGATCTAAAATTGATTCGTTCATGATATCAATTAAAACTTAACAATCTCCATAACCTCATACTGAAAATATGTTAGCTTAAAACGCTATACCGAACGAACACGAGATGGAATCAGTAGAACGAACGACATGAGAGACGAGTTAGTGATATAAATGATAGTGACATAAATCCGACAGTGAAGAATATAGTCAAGGAAGATATTATGCATGAAGGAATATCGAGATTTAAGATCTAGAGAATGTATTTGGACTAATACAACGGACTATGAGTCATCACCCACGCCCGACCAATAACTACGGCTGTCTTGTGGATCTCAACAAATTAGTTTGTATTTTCCAACACAGTTAAGTCAGATAATCATGAATTCTTACGCCTACCTAATCCCACATTACCCAGCAATGCGCATCGAGGGATGTGTTGATTGGGCATAAGTAATACATGTCCAAGTCACCTTAGTTGATGAATAATTACTTCATGTCAAGTATCACCATAGCTTACTTTAGTGGACTCATCACATCTGAGTAATACTTCAAAGATTTCTACAGTCAAATACCAGTAACTCAAGAGTATCGTCTACTTTCGTAGGCCATGTTTCACAACCATACAGTAATATAGAGCGCGTTGATGTACAATGTACTCATAACTTGATTGGAAGACAAATATCTCTTCTACGGCATGAGTGAGCACACTGGCAGAAACGAAGAGAGCTTTAGCAATCCGTGTCAGCCACCAACAAACGATGGTTAATGAGACTGAATTGAACTGGTGTGCGCCTTATTTATTTATTTATTTGAACACATAAATATTGGTACAGGGCGACACCAAATATATATGCGCCACACAAAACAATGATAATTTGAAGAGAAAGAGAAAAAAAAAGTAATGAACGTGGGGAATTATAAATAAAAAAAAGAGAGAGAGAACAATGATGGGGAAAACGGAAAGGTACAATCAGAAGAGATCTTTCAGTTAAGGAAGATACAACCACTTTTTATGAAGAAAGTAAAAGAAGGTTACAGCAGGATCGCCACTGGCTTCTATTCTGAGCCATATCTGATAACGTCTCTAGCCACTGCGTTACACCGTCTCTCGGACCCCAACCAGGGAGTCGTGAAAGACCAACAGAAGCTAGCCCTTTGCAGCTTTCTTTCATACCACGACACCATGTCATATACTGACCACCTCTACGCTTTTTCCAACCAGTCCCAGAGTCGGCAAATAATGCACGACGAGGAATTCTCTGGGACGACATTCGTAGAACATGTCCAAGCCACCGAAGGCGGTGTTTCAAGATGGTGACACTAATTGCATTATCGTCTCTGTGCCCGAACACTCGATGTCGAACCTCTGCATTACTGACATGGTGTTGCCACTGGACGCCAGCAATCCTTCGGAGACAACGATGATCAAACACAGAGAGTCGTCTAACATCCTCAACTCGGAGAGGCCAGGTTTCACAAGCATAGAGCAAAACTGCTCTCACCGTCGCGTTGTAGATCCGACCTTTTACAGCCAGACTAACATCACGAAGGCGCCAAAGGTGGCCCAGATTGGCATAAGCCGCTCTGGCTTTCACTATGCGTGCATTGATCTCATCACTCACGCCACCACCAGAACTTATACAGCTACCTAGATACACGAACTTCTCGACCACTTCTATCTGCTCACCGTCCAGAGTGAGTACAGGATTAGAATCCTGCCAATCTTGTAGAAGTACTTTGCACGTCGAGGGTGCGAAGCACATACCATACCTACGGACATTGATTGCCAACTGATTAAGTGCGGATTGCATGGCTTGGGCATTCTCGCACAGTAAGACAATATCATCCGCATACTCAAGGTCGAGAAGTCTTTCTCCAGGCAACAGATCCACACCACCATTACTTACATCCGTCAGAGCTGTTTCTAGAATGTCATCGATGGCAAAGTTGAAGAGGGATGGTGAGATTGGGCAACCCTGCCTAACCCCACTGCTCGAATGGAATAGTGGAGAAAGGTGGTTGTATGCGCCTAGTCGCTTCACTCTCTATCATTAGTGTGAGGACTAACCCAGACCAGTACTGAAGCAGTATTCTGCTTTTGGATGGAAACAAATACTAAACATGGTTCTACTGTCACTTAAGTTCAAAAGATTGCATAATGTATCTTCCACAAATAGGACTGTCATCTGAATATTCTTTGTCGTTAAGTTAGCCTGACAAAATACCAACCTCTGAAATTTATGATTTCTGGGGCGAGAGGTTATTTATAACGAAATAAGATAAGAAGAGGCTGACATAGTGGATACTTTACAAAACAAACTGATTCCTTTGTAGAAAGATTTGTCGGTCAGTGAACATGACCGGTCGGACGGGGACTACCCCAAGCTCCTAAACTCTATCTAGTATTTTAATCAACCTAGCTACTAAAACTGGACCACCATGATTAAACAACTTTCGAGTTAATCTGCCAGGTCCTGTTGATTTCCATTTGTTCAAGATTTTTATTTATTTTAACACATAGGCATTGGTACAAGGAGGCACTAAATACATATGCGCCACACGAATCTCAATTGATTTGTGTGAGGGCTGTGATAGATATGACCATATCCACCGTTCACAGTTGCAAGAATTGTAACGATTTCTTAAGCAGGTTGTTGAGAAGCGGTGAGTTACTGAAGGTCAGCTGAATTGTTACCTATTATTCTGTCCATTCCTTTAATCTCCTAAACCTAATAGATAAAACTTCTGTCATTTTCAGAAATACATGAGCTGACAGCCGGCTTTCTAATGCATGTATCTGTGATGTGTCAGGACGGTTATCTAGTGCTGCCTATTGCCTCTGTCTTTCCCGTCTATTTTTATTTTGTTGTCCACCATTGATCATGATCATTTCATTATGTTTTTATTAGCCTATGTTTGAGCTGTCGTTAATCTGTCGTTTTCCGAGCATAACAGGATGAATTTTAAAGCAGTTAAGAATTTGATAGGAACTTCGGGAATTTAACGGTCCTTCCTAACCTTTTGACTCAAGTTGATGACAGATGTTTGGATATCATAAAAACTACATCAAAATGAACTTTTCCTCATGATCAACTAAGTGTTTAGTCAAGAGTTCGCTTTGAATTTCCTTTGACCTTTATTTCTTCTAAAGGGTATTCGCGTTGTAACTTCCAGCAAAACGTATGAAATACATGGTCTCACTAGAGTATAATCGAATCTCAAATAATTGCTACAGAGCAAACGGCATAAGTCTGTAAAACCTCCCCAACAATGACTAATGGTTATATACCCTATTTCTATCCACAGTCGTGTCGATGTTGAGGGTCACTAGAGGCCAAAAGATAATTGCTTGAAGCCGGTTCATATCAGTCTTCTCATGAATTTTCGGTTTATTAGCACCGTACTTTTCAAGCCTTATTACCGACTCCAAGACCAAAACAATTATTATACTTGAAGAATCACTTAGTATCCATTCAGACACTTCCTATTATTTCACCAAAATTTATTTGTCAGATCAAAAACATAACAACATGAAGGCAAAATATGTAAAAAAGTAAAGGATATACAACATTAAGTCACGGTATACAAATGATAAAAAAATACACAAACAAGTTAAGAACTATCACTAATTATTAAACTAATTAAACTTGTCCATCCTGAAAACGGATGACCACGTTGACCATGTCCAGTCTGATCATTATACTGTTCCCATAAATGACCTGTTCGTTCAAGTCCACCTAATACGGTACGTGCTAAATTTTGCGTCAGTTGTTCAGCCAACCGTTTAGCTTCTGCAGCGACAGGTACAGGTGTACGTGAATGGTGAGAGTAATAACGTAGTGACTGTACGGCCAAATAATTTATATTTATCCATATAGCACCTCGCCAGTAGGGTGGGTCATCTTTGGTATTGTGTGTATGATAAAAAGGAGACTTAAGATTGATTGAACGCAAGCCGAACTCAGACCACAGCAAGTCCTTATTACTCAGGTCAGCCAACAAACGAGGAAGTCGTGGTGATGTAGGCGAAAGAACTTTCAAAAGAAATGGGAATAAATTTACATATCCAAACGAGGTGTCCACTAACTGCAATGATGGGGTTTTCACAGTTACTCGTACCAATCTCATCTGCTATGGTAAAAAGCCAATGTGAAATTAAAGAAATAATTACAAAATGTATAATATCGAACGCTTTAATCACAATAGTTATTTTCATTGAGTGACTTCCTTCCTGTTGAAATAATTATATAGTAATAATATGAGCTCACAACATTACAGTACCAGATCTCATTAATCTACCATAAGTGAGTCTCCGTACCTAACAGTAATACTAACTATAATATCGCCACATAAAATTAAATATTAATGAATTGGAGAAAATAATAAAACCCCTTAACTACCCAAACTAAAATAGCTCAGGTAGCTTTGAACATGTTTTTTTGTACTAAGATAAGAGCTACATTTATCGTTCGAAGTTAAAACCTCGGTAGATAATGTTGGATTCCATCTAGTAGTCCAGTAATTAAGTTGTTGGAACCAAACGTTTACTTACGGAGTGAAGTGTAATATTCCAATCGCTATTTAAATAGTAAATCAAATTCTTGCAAGTAAGCCCAAAAAATATAAAACCCATATCCTCTTTCAAGATATCCAAAAATTATGATAAGAATTATGAAAATAGTAAAAAAACACCTTAAAATAAGCACAGAATATTTTAAATATAAATGTAAAGGAAATATCAACGCATGAAATTACTACCTCATTAGAAACATGTGATCCCTTAGGTATATCAGGCATCTCAAGTCTAACAAAGTCTGTGTGCAGACCGTAATCAGCATAGCGGCCCTGTTTTTCTGACCAATGAAGTCTATCCAGTTCACTCTCATCTGATAATAGATCAGCCCAACGAGTATATTCAGCAATTAATGAACGAGTCTCTTCAAGCTTTGATCGACCATTTGCATTTTGATCTGCCTGCATAAATTGTGTAACAACAGAAGCCAATCTCGCCATTACACGAGCGAACAAAGTCATCCAACAACGTAAATCAATGTGACGTTCATCATCAGTTGGATGAGAGGCACGAGGGAAATCGTCTAATCCTTGAAACAGAAAACAAAACATGATAGCAGAGACTAATTATAACTGCATTTTCAACCAATAGTTCTCAATTTTTAAACATACTTTATACGGTTTAAGCAGTCGGGTGATAGTCAATAACTACCTCACACAAACAATGCGGTTCAAAGTTGAGTATTTGTACTTAGTATATATAAATCTCACTATTATTATTAAATGATAAGAAATATTATCAAGTCTAGGCATACTACAAGTGTTTACAAAAAATGAATATATTTGATTTAGACTATTATAAGAAACAAAGTTGGTAGTATCCTAATAATTTCGTCTTAAGCCATAAAAATTGTATCCATTTTTTATCTATAAACTCAGTACAAGTACACTACGTCGGTAGAGATGAATATGCGGTCGAAATTCACGTAACAACTGATAAAACTTTAACAAACACAAAGTTATATATATTATTGTACAAGTTCGAAAATGAACTAGTTGAAAATAGTTACTCCGCTGAATAAATTATTTTAAGAGATGTATATATTATGAAGTGATTTCCTTAATAGCATAAGTGAAACTGCATGTTTTCCATGATGTTTATAATAATTCCATAAGACATCGGAATTCCGTTTACAAAGTGTAAATTTGCCTTCAAGTGTGTCACATTGATTACTATGTTTAGTGAATTAAAGTGAAATAAAAATACCATATAATGGCCATGTGTAAAATTCTTATAGAAATATTAACTATTATCTAAAAAAGGATTAAAGTAATACTCTCAAGCATTTACCAGAACTTAACGTAAGAGGGTTCAGCTGATGAATTTCATTTGGATTGCGACCGCGCCAGCGATATGACAGAGGGACAGGACCGATCTGAGTAGTATTGAACCACTGATACCAAACATGTAGCCTTGGAAAAACTAACATAGACCAACGACGAAATTCATTAGCTTCAGCAACAGTTAGTCGAGGCAAACGATCTAACAAAGCCTGCATGAATAGTACAAAATAACACATATTTTAGAAAGAATTTCAGTAACAAAGAAACTAGAAACATACCAACAATAAATAGTACATGCAACAATTATCAGGATACTAAAAACTATTGCTGTAAAAAATGTTAGTAATTATGCTCATGACTCATAACAGATCAAAGAGAAATACACAAAATTACAAAAAGGAATAAATGAAATACTCAGAAAATTATTTAGGGAGTCTCGACCAACTGACTAGAAGCATATTTAACAAAAACTACCACATGTCACTTTTTGAATGTTATAACAAATAATAAAGACTACAAAACATACACCCGTTAACCGAAATTACAGGATGAAAGCTATAAAATATATTCCGACTATCTAAATTCCACATTCCTCCTCAAACAAAACTGGTCAGACGACATCATTATTATGATCAATAGATTGGAACTGGTATACTGAAGGCGTAAGACAGTTATGAAATACCTTTAAATTACGAATAGCTAAACAAAGGGGTGAGATATACCTGATGAATTTATTTATTTGAACACATAAATATTGGTACAGGGCGACACCAAATATATATGCGCCACACAAAACAATGATAATTTGAAGAGAAAGAGAAAAAAAAAGTAATGAACGTGGGGAATTATAAATAAAAAAAAGAGAGAGAGAACAATGATGGGGAAAACGGAAAGGTACAATCAGAAGAGATCTTTCAGTTAAGGAAGATACAACCACTTTTTATGAAGAAAGTAAAAGAAGGTTACAGCAGGATCGCCACTGGCTTCTATTCTGAGCCATATCTGATAACGTCTCTAGCCACTGCGTTACACCGTCTCTCGGACCCCAACCAGGGAGTCGTGAAAGACCAACAGAAGCTAGCCCTTTGCAGCTTTCTTTCATACCACGACACCATGTCATATACTGACCACCTCTACGCTTTTTCCAACCAGTCCCAGAGTCGGCAAATAATGCACGACGAGGAATTCTCTGGGACGACATTCGTAGAACATGTCCAAGCCACCGAAGGCGGTGTTTCAAGATGGTGACACTAATTGCATTATCGTCTCTGTGCCCGAACACTCGATGTCGAACCTCTGCATTACTGACATGGTGTTGCCACTGGACGCCAGCAATCCTTCGGAGACAACGATGATCAAACACAGAGAGTCGTCTAACATCCTCAACTCGGAGAGGCCAGGTTTCACAAGCATAGAGCAAAACTGCTCTCACCGTCGCGTTGTAGATCCGACCTTTTACAGCCAGACTAACATCACGAAGGCGCCAAAGGTGGCCCAGATTGGCATAAGCCGCTCTGGCTTTCACTATGCGTGCATTGATCTCATCACTCACGCCACCACCAGAACTTATACAGCTACCTAGATACACGAACTTCTCGACCACTTCTATCTGCTCACCGTCCAGAGTGAGTACAGGATTAGAATCCTGCCAATCTTGTAGAAGTACTTTGCACGTCGAGGGTGCGAAGCACATACCATACCTACGGACATTGATTGCCAACTGATTAAGTGCGGATTGCATGGCTTGGGCATTCTCGCACAGTAAGACAATATCATCCGCATACTCAAGGTCGAGAAGTCTTTCTCCAGGCAACAGATCCACACCACCATTACTTACATCCGTCAGAGCTGTTTCTAGAATGTCATCGATGGCAAAGTTGAAGAGGAATGGTGAGATTGGGCAACAGTGCCTAACCCCACTGCTTGAAGGGAATAGTGGAGAAAGGTGGTTGTATGTCCTCACTCTGCCTGAGGTGTTTGTGTATAGGGCTTTTAGGATGTTAATAAACTTCTCAGGAACACCCTTCTTCAATAGACAATCCCAGAGAACAGTTCTCTCCAACGAATCGAAGGCAGCCCTGATATCAAGAAACACTACGATTGTTGGCCTTTGATAAGTATGGCGGTGTTCTAACACTTGGCGGAGGGTGAAGATATGATCAATACATCCTCGACCAGAACGAAACCCAGCCGGCTCCTCGCGAGTCAATCCTTCTCGGGTTCTGAACAATCTACGAAGTATGACGGAAGCCAATAGCTTGGACGCAATCGGAAGTAGACTTATCCCCCGATAGTTGTTACAGGAACAACGTGAACCCTTTTTAAAGATAGGGACAACTATCGACTCATTCCATGACGTTGGTACACTCTCTAGTTCCCAGACCTTTGTAAACAACGTCGTCAGTCCATTAGTCAGAAAGTCACCACCATCTTTAAAAAGAGCCGGAGGTAAGTCGTCTGGGCCCGGTGATTTGTAACGTTTCAAGAGTTGGAGTTCCTTGCGGACTTCCGCCTCATTTGGTGGATCAGTCGTCACCGGCCATGGAGGGCAGGACAGTCTGACCGATGTTGCCGGAGCAGCAGGCCAGTTGAACTGCCCTTCAAAGAATTCTGCCCATCGTCCAAGACGTCAATGGATGTTAGTGATTGGCGTTCCGTCATCCTCGCAGATTGTTTCGCTCACACCAGACTTCTTGCTGCCAGTGGCTCGGATGAGTTGGAAGAGTTTCCGGTAATTACCAGATGCAGCTGCTGCTTCCAGCTCATTAGCACGCTCCGACCACCAGGCTTCACGGTACTTACGCAAGCTTTGCCCGATTCCATTACGTAACATCCTTCGTCTGTGGTCAAACTCACGGTCACCCGGAGTAAACCGACGGACTTTAATCAGTTGTAAGGAACCAGGAGAAACCCAGTGCTTGTAAGCAGGACGTTTCGCGAACCCACAACAGACTTGACCCGCCATTTTCATGGCGTCATGAAATTGCAACCAATGCTCATCTATACTTTTCGGTGGAATGCTAGCTAGCCTAGAAGCTAGCTCGGTTCGGTACATACTAGCAACAGAAGTTGCAGCCAGCTTGCTAACATCAATCCTTTGGTGGCGGTCACTTCGTTGGCCACTGAAAAGTAAGGTAAGATTGGCGCAGACCAGAGCATGGTCAGATTCCAGATAGGTACTCCAAAAGGAGCGGCAGTCTTGTACACAACCACGCCAGCGGTAGCTGATCGCGATGTGATCAATCTGTATCCAGGCTTGAGATGTAGAAGGGGGACGCCAGGTGGCACATCGGCGATGAATGTGTCGAAAGTTAGTGCTAGCCAGAAAGAGGTAGTGGTCTGTGCACAGTTGCAGTAGACGGTCCCCGTTATCTGTCCTGCGACCAACAAGTCTCCATCGGCCACCTAAACGACTTTCTTCTGTGCCTAGACACCCGACCTGAGCATTCAAGTCTCCAGCTAGTACTACAATATCTGTCGAACGCACTTTCTGGAGAAGAACAGATAACTGGTGGTAGAACTCATCCTTGATTGCATCCGGGCTGCAATCTGTCGGGCATAGGCGGAGATGACGAAAAGACAACGTTTCTCACGCCGATTTCTTCTCACTTTGATCGAACTTTCTAATCTAACAGCACATAACCGACTGTTAATGGGGATCCAGTCGACTAGTGCTGCCTCAGCTCTAGCGCTTAGTGCGACACCAACGCCAGCAAGACCAGACGAAGATGCCACAGAGTCCCCGAATAAACGCACATAAAACAAGCTTTTTGAAGCGACAGATGGAGAGCGAACTTGTAGTACTTCACCAGAGTCTTGAATACGGGTCTCGGATAGACAACACACGTCAATATTAAGACTTTCCAAAGACATAGCCAGCCCTATCTGTTGTCCGACCTGCATAAGTGTGCGAACGTTGAAGGCAGCCAGTTTGAATGGTGTACGTGGTTTCAGAAAAACTGCTTCAGTACTCATATTCAGTAGTAACATACAATTTTCAACCATGCAGTGACTCGAGAACGTTTAGATAAAGCTGAATTTTCACCATAGGTGAGCTGCTGTCTAGGTCGAAACGGATACATAAAGTAGGAATGAGAGAGGGTGAATAAATGACGTGGTAGAGTAATAATAATAATAATAATAATAATAATAATAATAATAATAATAATAATAATAATAATAATAATAGTACGAGTTATTTCAATGTTAATCAGATAGAAAGGAATATTTTCCATAAGCAAATAGTTCATCATGGTTTTAGTGCGTGGGCTGAGATACTGCCCGGGTGCCCAAACCGAAACAGGTGGTTTTCTTAGGGGGACACACCCCGAGCCTTTGACCTAAGGGTCTAGTCCACAAGGCAGTGGAGCATCGTAAGGAGATGCAGTCCCATGGTAGCCGGTGACCAAAAGTTGGTTCATACGCCATTTGTTCCCGCAGGATACTGGAGCCCATGTGCACCATTGAATTGGGATCCGGTTAAAGCGCCGGAAATTCGCTTTTCGTCTTCTCATGTTCGTAAACAACACCCCCACCACGAGAAGGCAGTGAGTAGGACTTCTTTGGCAGAGGCTGTATACGCGTGGCCGTGTGAGAGCATTTGGAGAGGGAGAGCGGACTCTCCCCGCTCTCGGCCATACCAGGGCATATTAACTACATTACCAACCACTGTACCACTGTACTGTCAGAAAATGGATTCTACCTAAACGTAAAGAACTATGTTTCCCGTTCATCCAAAAGTGTCCAAATACGAAATTAGTTGCCTATGTGGAGTTCGCTACCTTGGTTTCCGTATCAGTACACTTGTTGGGGATGTTAAATCCCCAGAAATCACTTGATAAGTACTTTATTTTTGTAATCCTATTTTAAAATTTAAATTCCTTGTTTCCGTGCTAAAAGCGCTCATTTTTACCTTCTTGTCGTATTTCTCACTTGGGAGGATCCTAAACGCTATTGGTTCGTTGTATCTTTTAGTATGTTATTTTGTAACGCTTCCCAAGGACATTTTTTGTGCTGTATATATACGCTTGATTTGTGCTTCTTGTTGTTGCTTGTGCTTCTAGCTGCTTGTGGAATAATATTTCCCTTTTCCGAACTTGGACATCGCTCTCTAGTTAGTGGGGCTGGGACACACCGGAATGGCAAGCTTATCTGCCATTGTGTCACAGAATCTTCGTTCCGTTCTCTGCTTAGGTGAACTCGTAATCTCTTCAAACATAGCACATTTCAAGCCCTCAAGGGTTATTCTAGCATCCAGACAGACCGATTTATTCATTTTTCTTGAATCATATTTTAACCTTATCAATTATTCATTTATTAACCTTGACTATTTTTATATTAGCGTATGTAAATAAAAATAATATATATGGGCGTATGTGTTAATTACTTACACTATTCATGATGTGCCTGTAATTTACTTTTGGTCGACTATAAATATCGATTCACGTTTGGTTAAACCGAGTTAGCTCGCATGCCTTATCCGATCTCTTTCGCTTCGCTCTTCCTCTTTGTTTTGCTGCCTCCTATTCTGAATCTGTCTGGACAAAAGAATGCCTGAATCCCTCCAACTCCACTTGTATTTAGCTTCTTATTACCGCCGTCATAAAAACGGGGTTAGCCTAGGTAAATGAACGATTTATGTTCATAGCATATACATACGTTCATCCAAATTGGAATCAGATCAGCCGGCACCACAAAACACTCACTGAAGACGCCGCGAAAAAAACGTTTCCAAAGGAATATATCTAATAAGCACAATTGTAGTGCAAAAAACGATATTTCAAGTGATTAAGTGAGCTTACAACCGTGTTTGTTATAGGACCTCCTACCGAGTACTTTTCAGATAGCTGTAGCATTATAAATGAATATAACAGAGTAAAACTCTAGATTCTCACATGAACTATGATCATTACACTCTTGTATAACTATTGGTAAGAAATGATTTATCATATAAAAGTAAGAGCTTGAACAATCCATGATACAACATTCACTTTATAATTACTTATTATCTATGACCACAGTGAATTTAACGCTTCATAACGAAACTTTATTACACTATGACACAACTGCATATTTGCTTCAACTATTAATAATACGAATTAGGCGTAATAAAATATACCGTGATACAAATGGAAATATGTTCAAGACTCTACTAAAAAGTTTAAAAACTTAACATACTTCAACAGTTAAAATCAAAGATGGTGGATTGGCAACATCAGAGGACTGAACAACAAATTCGGATGGAACCTTCGATCTGGCCTCCCAACCTAAAATCTGTTCACGTGGGATCCAACCATTAGCGTTCATAAGATCGAGCCATGAACCGACTGTTTCCATTGCAAGATTTGGATCCCATCGGGCCAATATCAAACCATGAAATCCTTCATCCCATAAAAATCCACGCGGAAAGTTGGGACGAGATGGAGTGGCAGTAAATAAACTAGACGCCCAATTGGATACTGGTTCCGGTCCAATATTAGCTGAACGAACTAACGATGTGCCGTAAAAGAAACCAATACCACCCAGTAGATTGCTGACTGAAATTCTAGATAAGTTGACCTAATCAGATTTAGAGATAGAAACACAAAACGATTATCCCTATATATATTGATTGCAGTAAAGAACGATTATAATGAAAAATCTCATGATAAGAGTTAAGAAAATAACAATTTTACGTAGCACATAATGAACGGCGTTAAGATATAGCCACCAAAATATTGGCTAATCAATGAGTTTATCATTCACAGTAAGTGTGTAGACGCCCAAACAAGTGCCTACACTTTCCCATTTATTGAACAATATAAAGTAAATAATTTAGTGCACTAACTTAATTAACCTGCTCTATTCACTTTACGAATAAGATTTCTTCCATAGGATTAATATACCACTAGCCTAATCTTGATCATTTCTACAGCTGTAATGAAGGCATTATGAGACAACTATAAACTGAAAAAGAAAATTGTCATTCCTGAAGAAAAGAGAACGAGAGCAGGGAATCAGTGTGGAAACGAAGGAACAATGAAGTCTGAGACGACTGATTGACATTTTATAAATGAAGTATTTACTGTATGGATCTCATATTTTACTAAGACGTTCTGTAATTTTGTATTCAAATACATTCGGTTGTTAGATGGTGGTTGGAGGTAGTCAACAGGAAACCCTGGACCCGGGTTTCGTGCTACTTTCCCCCAAATGCCCTGGTACGGCCGAGAGCGGGGAGAGTCCGCTCTCCCTCTCCAAATGCTCTCACACGGCCACGCGTATACAGCCTCTGCCAAAGAAGTCCTACTCACTGCCTTCTCGTGGTGGGGGTGTTGTTTACGAACATGAGAAGACGAAAAGCGAATTTCCGGCGCTTTAACCGGATCCCAATTCAATGGTGCACATGGGCTCCAGTATCCTGCGGGAACAAATGGCGTATGAACCAACTTTTGGTCACCGGCTACCATGGGACTGCATCTCCTTACGATGCTCCACTGCCTTGTGGACTAGACCCTTAGGTCAAAGGCTCGGGGTGTGTCCCCCTAAGAAAACCACCTGTTTCGGTTTGGGCACCCGGGCAGTATCACAGCCCTCACACAAATCAATTGAGATTCGTGTGGCGCATATGTATTTGGTGCCTCCTTGTACCAATACCTATGTGTAAAATAAGATAAATTCGTGCTACTTGGCACTCGTCAGCAAGGTGTACCTGTAATCTTGAGGGAACTAGTGCTCCCTGACGGATTCGATCCCGGGCCACTCAGCTTCACAGTCAGAGACGTTGCCACTGAGTTATCCGGGCCGCGACCGACCTCCTGTAGGACTGAGATGTAATCACAATTGATTGATCACTGGGTGGTGATCAATGTCATGCTTGTCTAATCCTTATTAGTGCAGACCGAATGCTAGGGAGCACCAGTTCCCTCAAGATTACAGGTACACGTTACTGACGAGTGCCAAGAAGCACGAATCCCGGGTCCAGGGTTTCCTGTTGACTACCTCCAACCACCATCTGATCTTACAATAGTGCCCGCAGTTTCGAGTCACTTAGACTGGTGGCCACATTGCAATATGGTCGATAGCATTCGATCTGCACTAATAAGGACTAGACAAGCATGACATTGATCATCACCCAGTGATCAATCAATTGTGATTACATTCGGTTATCTCCATTGGTGTTATCGTTTACTACATTTGGTTGTCCCGCCTGTGTTCTCATTCACTACAATTTCAGCACCGAGAAACACGACACCTTTTGTTTTGAAACATAATCCATATTGTTCAATGGATATAAACGATATACGATCAAGATGTGTAGACATAAACATAATCACATTACTGAATACTTAAACGTTATGATTACCAATTCTAGACATCCTTTCAAATCACTTCTAGATCATTTTTACAGTGTAAATAATCCCAAATTCTAGCGAACAAAAATTTTAAATCTGACTCTATAAATTTATTACTACAAAGATTGGTTGTAATTGATGAACATTAAGCATAAAGTACGATTTCTTCAAACTGCCTTTGTTTGTTAATCTTAGAACTTTCATAGATTTTAATCAGCATAGATCAATAAAGCATAAAATAGAAAAATAAGTTTAGAAAATGATGTAATCAACTTGCTTAAAACTACAAACCTGTCTATTAGAAAACTTCGTTAAATCCACACTGAACCTTTCAACAAAACGTTTATGGAAACTTATAGACTGTTTAAATAACTCTTCAGAGAAACTATTCCCATGAAAACCCTCAAATGAACTTTGTGATCGAAAGAATTCGACATCCAGAATTGGTTGATTATTTTCATTAGGTTTTGTACTTATTTCATAAAACCATGCATTTGGGGGTTGATTTTTATCATGATTCTTTGTGACACCTGTTAATGCCAAGAAATTCTTATCTCTTCTAACTCCTAAGCCAGATAACATTGTCTCTTTAATTGTATCTTCTCTAGGTATATAAGCCACAAGAGAACTCTCTTGTAATTTATGAGGAGTAGGATGGAACAAAACATGAAAATCACTCAGCTCCATTGAACTACCTAAATTGTAAAAATAGTAAAAATCAAGAATTGAATACACCAACTAGATTCAAAACATCGTATTTATGTAGCAGTAATATGTTGATTAGGCATAATTTAAAACTATGTTTAAACTAGACAGTGGTTCGACAACCGACAGTAGTATTTTGCTTATTGAGTACTTGGGATGATTACAGTTAGCCTGGTTAGACCGAAGTATATGAAGCGAGGTTCAAGCTCATGACCTGGTGGCTGAAAGATGAGTGTCTTAGTCACTAAGATACTGCGCTACTACAACGACAAGACAATTAATCTCAAAAAATGTGGCAAAAACTAGTAAAATGTCTAATGACCATAAATCTCACAAGTGTTCGCTTATTTATTACAATATAGATTTAGTCACATTATTTTGAACAGATATTTTTGTGTGAGAATAGAGGTTTTATTTTCAAAACGATAGCAGCATAATGTGATGCGTAGCAAATTGTCTACTAATTTAAAGATTGTTAGTGAGTCTAATAGGTCACTGGATTCGATTTCAAGAAGTGATACCTTGCCACGACATACGTCTTGAGTCGTTGTCGACCGGCATCATACCAGTAATCGTAAAAATACAAGTTATTAATCTAATATCAACGTACATATCCCAAACCGACCACCACACTTCGACTTAAAATCATCTCTTGATCTATCTGATCATGGTCAGCATAATGTGTTGAGATAGATCATCACTGCATGCCAGTAACATGTCTGTCTATCTTTCAGGTAGCGAAGGAGGCTTTGATGTCACCTGAAGTCATATATTTAAAACCTTGGCACGTGTTTACGTGATTACACTTTACAGCCATACAGTGAAACGCAGAGACTATGGCGTCATAGTACAAGGTCTAAATAAATATCTGATTATCTCCATAGGTAGTTTAAACCGACATAGTACTTCCGTTTCCACAGATATTTCTTGGGTAACTAACTACCAAGAACTAATACAACCGTCAAGATAAGTGAAATGTTTGACAGATTTAAACTACTTTACACCGTCACACTAAACAGTAGCACAGACCAGTCCTAAAACAATAGTTTATGGTCGAATTGTGGGAATTATATCTCAAAATGTTTATGGCCTGTGCTATTGATCTTTGTTCATCACCTTACGTAACACGATCTGTATCATGGAGACTGTTTGTAGTATCCCAAATATTTTATTATTGGGAATTTGTGATCAGTGTAAAATTTCGGGAAAGTACTCTCACTTAAGAAGATATCTCAAGCTCACATAATTTTAAAAGGAATAATAAATAAACTAACCTTGCAATCCAGTAATTTTCTTATTCGAAATGACTGGTTCTATGAAGAAGTCACTTTTATCACCAGGATAATAAAAGTAGACAATTACCGACAATGGATATTCCATAGAAGTCTAACAAATAAAGTAGCGAAAACACTTTATTGAATAACTTAAATTTAGTGTCGACAATTAAGATCCGGTAACTTTATTTATAACAGATAAAGTTCAATAGAATAGAACACCACTGAATCCAATAAATTTATGCAACATTCTGTACAAAGAACTTTTTTAATCAATCTGTATAAGGTCTGTTAGGTAAATCCACTAATTAATGGTGAAAACGGATTTTATCAGACGTTGAGATTAAAAATCAGTAGAGAAGAGTTCATAATAGTTTATTACATTAAAAACTCACACGATTCCGCGCAACTGCCGAAATTCTTACTGTCCAGTCACCGCCCATGAAGTCAGAAGACGGTTTTACAAAAGATATTGTGATAATATGATGGATATCCACTATTTGTTGTGTTCCAAAGGTACGACCATCGTGTTCCAACCAGTTGTAGCTACAAAAAAAACGTGACAAAAGAGATGGCAGTGTCGACATTTTAGTTGTGGGAAATGTATCAAACAGTCGACTTTTATACATTTTACTTAATGTGCTTCAATAACCAAATATAATTTTTTGAACTATGTTTTGAGCCCCACATTTTGTGAGGTCTGGTGATGACACTCAGTTATTTAAATCTAAGTGAGTGGCAGAAAGCTCGAACCTGTAAACAGCTGGTTGAAAATGGAGTCTGTTAATCACTAATGATCCGCGCCTTAACTACTAAACAACATTTTTAATAAGCTTAAATGCAACTTGACTATAAATCAATGGATTTACGGACAAGAAAATATATTTTTGCTTAGTATGAGTGAATAATTATAATTACAGCAAAAATTAGAAAGTTCATGACCCAAAAATATTTTACTTCATAAGTTAATTTTGAACTATGCAGTCAAATGTTTAGATTCAACATGAATTTATAAGTGTATGGTGTATGCTACTTATGTCTGTCGACATAAGTAGTATGTAACACCAATCGGTAGTGGAAAACCTGGCAGCAGAAGGCTATGAAGGTTGACTTGAAGAGAACAGGGACAGAATTAGAAAGGAATTGTGAATCAGAAGAATCATACAGAATTTGAAAGACAAATGATGGAAATTTGCAAATGAAGTACTTAATGAATAGTTTTCATATTTTATCAAGATATTCTGTAGTTTTGCATTAAGATACATTTGGTTGTGCCATTTTTGTGTTCTCGTTTATTACAAGTGCACTTGAGCAACTAATGTCCATTCTAACATAAGTGTGGCTCATAATCTATCAAACTAACCTGCATATTGGTAATTGAATGTATAACTAGTAATCCTGAAATAAATTCCGTACAGCACAATAAATTCAGATCAGCTTCAACATATCATATGAATATGAGCTTTCCCCTTTAAATTATGTTAAAATCTATTCATTATTCACAACGAGAGGCATGGAGTATAACTATATTTTCACTAACGATTTAATCTATAATGGCAGCAAGCTTCACCAGGTATATAAAATGTTGCAGATTAATTTTACAGTAAAAACATAACAAATGAATGGTGGTTTCATTTTGCATATTTCATTAGTGTCTAAAATTCGAGTCATAAAGTGAAAAATCAAACAACAATAAATGTATCGCCTTATGCTAAACCAAAGAATTCTATGATATAACTGGGCTGAAAATTATTAGCGAATTTTTTGTTAACACAATGTACTCTGCCGGCTGAAGTGCAAGTAGGTTGAATAAAAATAGGAGGGATAAAATCATTTTGCTACCCTTTCATGAGGCGTTAATGAAATAAAGTCGTACGGATAGGTAACCGACTGAAAATATCAGTCAGTCTTACACAAGGCTCAAAAACCAACATAATAGTGCAATTATCAACATAAACGTCGCATTTCTATTGCTTTAGAATTTCTTGAAAGTGGTTTATGCGATCTAACACTCGCAACGAAATTTGTTGACTGGGTACTTCTGAAGCGCCAGATGGAGTGGTGAAAAATATCCCACCTTTCTCAGACTTTTGACATGATGCAATGAGTTGGGCTGTCATTCATCTGGAATCATATTAAACATATATCTGGGTTTTGGGAGGTGATTTCAGATTCCCTACTCTTATTCCTAGTGTTTTACAGAAATATGGAACTAGATCTTCTATAGAAATACCATAAAAGGTTAAATGATCAGGAAATGTGAAGATGCGGTAAGTGAAATTAAAAAAGCATAGACGATTAATATAGCCAAAAGCACGTAAATATAAACACTCACTACTAATAAAAACCTACCTTAGAACGCCATCATATTGATCACATGAGTGGCGGTAGGCGAAATTTTCTGGATCTTGGATTGTCCACATAACTCCAAACAAAAGAGATTTGGGGCTTCTATGTTTCATACCAAAATAAATTCCGGGACGATAACTTCCCCAAAACAAACTATGAGATCGTTCATGCAATGAAGCATCCGATATTACTTTAGGTAGGTGAAGTGGAGTAATAACTTGTTTTCCCTGATACCATACCATCACTTGACGAAAGGCAAGCATAACCAAAAAAATCAACACCCCAAAATATATGAAAGATAAAATGAGCCACTTTGGAACTTTGTTTACAATGTGGAAATCGGTTAGGAATGACCGCTCATGGCTAATACGGCTTTTGAGTTTAGGGTGGCGTGAGCCATCTGACAGGTGTGATATGTGATTTACTTCGCGTTTAGGATGCTCAGAAACTGAATTGGTAAGCTCCTCAATTCTCTGATTGTGTTTACGTTTTCTTGGACGTGCTTCAATGGACTTACTCTTTGGCATCTTTATTGAGATATATAAAAGAACCAGACCTAAAAGTAGGAAATACCTTAATGAGGAACAGTTTTTAAAATCATAATTCCTGTTTTTGTAATATATGGATATTTTCAAACTAAGTCAAACTTTCGACTCGATTAATGAGGTATTCATCTTGCCTCAAATCAGAAAGTGCTTACATGGATAATAAACAAGAACGCAATGAGTAATCCTTAGAGAATAATACTGATAAAATGTAATGATGAAACCAACGGGATCCCTGTAATTGTAACTCGTACACCCCAACCGATCAAAACATTCTTCTTAAACAGTCCCACCTCTCTATAAGACTTAGTGAAGCATACAATAATCGTAGAATGGTAAGAAGTTATTTTGTAGACCCTCTTCAACCTCCTAAAACGTTTAGACAATAAAATTAATCATGACTAACTACTGATTAGGTGTAAATTTCTGTGATATAATATGTTAGCGCACATCAATAATCTATGTTAACAGTGAATTAATGATTCCGTCATTACATACTTTTCGTAAGATTCACTTTTTTATACATTAGAACTTTAGGATTCAGAAATTACTCTCCTAGTTTCATACTTTTTCCACATACAAAAAATTGTTTTCATTAATGCTTTGGTCAAGAAGCAGGTGCTTCTTACGGCAAGCATATTAATAGTGAGTGAGACGTGCTGTACGTCCTGACATTGTTGATATAGATAGTAAATCGACTCAATATGAATGAAAACCAATCTATTACTAAATGTGCAGTCTTGCACTCATCAGGTGTTACACGCAGAAAAATCAACTGCTAATAGATTATTTCTATCCAACTAAACACTTAGTTGCTCCGTTTAGCAAATTAGTTCGATACGATACCACTAATTTGCAGAATGAAACTACTTTACCCCTATGTAGTGAGAAGCCTGTGGTAAGCAAAATAATTCTGCTAATCATTAGCAGAGCGGGACTCAAACGAAAACCCAATTATCCATACGATTCAGCTGATTTGAATGTAACCAAATGTTAGGGTAGATGTAGCAAGTTTACCTACCGAAAGTTTAGACTGATGGAAGCTCCTAAACCCACGGTGATTAAGCCTATTACTTCTATAAACTTATATACACAAATTAAACGAAGACAAAACCTCAGCCATCAACTTCTACATTAGCATTAAGTGCTAGTGGAGGGGCCGGCTAAGTTACGTGTGCAATTGTTTTCACTACGCTACTTTTCAAAAGCATGTAGCAACCATCTAATTGACTGGTAATATTAAACAAATGATATGCATTTTAAATAATTCATCCTTTAATATCATGTTCAGTAACATGGGTGGATTATCAGTTTTGTTGCCGTCAAGTGAGAAGGAACCGGAAACCCTAGAAACATCCCCAGCAGGAAAGTGTAAGGAGCAGATATGCAAGATCATAGATTCCTTTAATGATTTATTTACATTTCAGATGAGTGTGACCAAGGTCATGAATGGCAATCTGAAGGCATTATTGAGATACATTAAGGATTAGGCTGAGACTGGAATCGCCCATCAATTTTACTTCTCTTGGAACTTCATATAAGATATGGTTTAGCAAATTGATTTTATTGAACCAGACGAATTAGGGACGAATTTTTATGATTCTTTTAACGTAGATGCATTAACAGCAAAGTTCGGATAGGTCAGTGTAATAGGACTTACTAGAATTTATACCACGTTTCTCTCATGATATGAGACAAATCAAACGTACAAGCAACGAAAGAATGATTATATAAGTAAAAAATTAGTGTTATCGTTTTTCCTTCCCGTTTTCTTACCGAACATCACACCTCATATTGTATTAAAAATCTAAATACAACCCCATCACAACAGTTGATATTTATTGTTTCAGAATTCGCTAAACGAAAATGTGGACTACCAATAAAGATGGGAACATTTAGTTTCAACGTTATTGGTTCGATTTTAATATAATCACTCTTCTCAAATAAACGAATGCCTACATATACTTCAACATTCTCACATGTACGTGATGTACTGAGGAAAAATGAGACGGTCTTAAAACGCCAAATAAATAAATATTTAGTTGGAATAGGAGACATTCTTAGTACATGTTCCCACTAAACAAACCCCATATATATAGCTAAGTTCCACATTTTCTAGACATCAATAATCATCATACTTTTCACTTACAAAGACAAAGTGTGACAGACACAATAGGATTCCTGCAAATTACTTCTTAAACACGAACCACGCTTCATAATGAGGTCAAACGCTAAGAAACCTTTGCAGCAGTAAGTAAATGTCGAAGAGATTCTGGCGGGAGGTAAAATGACATTAGTAAATGTATGCAAAAATAGAATGGTTGGTGTACATTTGGGCAACTATTAAAGAATTAACTTCGAGATGTTTCCCCTAATGGCAGCATTTAAGCGAAAAGCTACACTTTAACCACGGCGGAAAATGACGACATTTATATTAAACTTGGAGAAATATTTCGCCAAGTTTCCGTTAGGAATATCTACCATATATTTCCCTGAGTACATCTTTATTCCGAAATATGGTCCAAAACTGGAGATTTAGAAAGACACCTAAGAGTATATTAAATACAGGGATTAAACAACAAATACAAGAAAAAGAATACCGCCACAAGATAAACGCCCGAGAGTAGCGCTAAGCTTGAAGCAAAGGACTTCAGTTTCAGTTTAAGGACAGGAGACTGGGCAACCTACATTAGTCTTGGTAATGGTGGTCTTTGAATTTCTTTTAAAAAAATCGACTGATGGAACTTCAATCACGTGCTGAGGTGATTAATTTCATTTGTTGATGATTCTATGGGAAAGACGATAGTCAGCTGACACGTAATTTGTTCTGGGCTAGTGAATTTTCGCAGTGTCCTCGTAAGCTTTCTGCTTTGGAAGACAAGGAAGGTGAGGGAATACCAGATGTCAGTTTATCACTGAGTAATTAAAAACTGTGATCAAGTCACCTTTGATTCTTCTATATGATAAGTTTTGTTTGGACAGTCTATCATCATATAGGAGCTTAGCTGTTCCGGGAATCAGTTTAGTTGTTGTTCTTTGAATCCTTTACAGCCGCTGATCGTCTTTTTTAGTCACGTGTTAGCCTCTTGTATATAGTACTCAAGTTGAGTATTCACGAATACTACATGTAAAGTCAAAAAGTTTTCGGAATCAACATGGATGATGGCCCTATGTATCAACTATATGTTACTAAGACCGTTGGGGGTTATCGCACGGTATCTTGAAGTAGACTTTAGGTCTTGACTAACTATGACTCCTAAGTATTTGTGTGTCTGGACAGCAGGTAGCTCAGTGTTATTCTCCGTGACCATTATATACCATAGCGCACTTAAATCATCCATCGGCAACTGCCAAATTTTTGTCCATTTATCGAGGTCAGTTTGAGTCTTTAAACTATCAACTTTACTTTCTATCGCTCTTCATATCCTGATATAGTCAGTATATAATAAAACCGATGATGGTAGGAGACTAGGAAGATAATTTACATGCAGGAGTGTAGCGGTCAATAAATTCTTAAAATAAATGGCTCTGTAAGTCTTCGACGTTTAGTTTCAGCGGTCTCACCTGGTTAAATGCTCTCGAGTGTGTACGCTGCACCTCCCATCTCCTACAACCGCTAGCTAGAATAAATCAGTCACATCTCGATATATCGACAGCCTACCACTATAGACAGCTCTGGATTCTTAAGAGCGCACCAGTATTCGTGAGCTACTGATAAGTCTATGAGACAGGAATAGCTTGTTCCAAAGTCATGCTGTCTTAGAAAGAATCCGATTTTTGTTAGGATACTTAGACATCTCATTCCGAATAACTTTTTCCAAAATTTTAACGACCACGCTGGTTAGTCTTGCGGGTCGAAAGTTCTCAGGTTTATTTCTCTTACCTGTTCTGAAGATAGGACTTATCATAGCGTTCTTTCGATCTTTCGATATTTGACTCTAGGTTGCAGACAGATTAAGATACGTACTTAACGGATGCTCATCAAATTTTGCTGATTCCTTTAGTAACCTAAGATGCATTTCATTTAGCCCCACGGATTTGCTTACATACAGCTTATTTAGAAAATCAAAGACATCGAGTTATTTAATGATCACAGTCTCTCACGATAATGCTGGAATACTTCCTTTTCCCTCAGATCTTTGATTTATGTACGAGTATAAGCGTTAGGGGTATTTTCTAGAACCCTTAGCAAGTTTTTCTTCGCACAATCTTCTAAACTTGCGGAGGGTCGATGCACAAATATTTCGAACTACCCAATATTGAGATTTTTTCTTACCAGTACCCAGTAACCTAAATCTCTCTCAAATTCTCTTTTGAATGAGGAAAGTGCGTACCTCTTTACCGAACCACTTTGAGAAAGTTCGCGGACGCATTGCTATGGACAGGGGATTCACGATTCAGTGACTTATATGTACAAATTTCTGAGTACATCTCAAACCGTTTCAATGAAGGACTCGGGTTCTATTGACCAATCTACTAAGAATGCTGAGCACATAATATCCTGTACATTTGCTTTACAGCCTTTTTAATAAACAATAAACTGCGACGTCTAGCATTCGCAAACGATTTTCTGTCGATCATTTTTCATTTCATTCAGCAAAGGAGAGCAGGGTTTACAGCGATCGCTTCATTTAAGTTATCTTACGCTACTTATATATGTCTTTTGTGGACGCATTATAGTAGCGCGCCCCATCTTGCTGGATGGAAAAAGTGAACGTTGGGGTTTGTTTTAAAATATTCTGTAAGAATTATGGCGTCATATGCTATAAGGTATGAATGGAGTGAAGTTGAACTACTGCGCCGCATGGTTACATCTCAGTGACCTGTCTAATAACTAAGCTTTCATATGCCATACTGAATGTCCTGCGCTCGATTACTGACCGCAAAGCCAATGATGTGCACTCCTGAGTTCCTTTCTAGGATGAAACGACCTACCGGCGCTATCATATTTTCAATGGTTGTGTAAGTGGTTGAATCTATGAACTATTCATTCGCGGTTCCAGTAATAACCCTGAAGCATTGCTGACTTTTTTACCAAATTATATGTTGATCCGTTAAAGTTGATAAGAAAAAATAGTACACAAGATACTATAATTCGTTAAAGGACATGTAGTGTCTAGTACTAGTACACACATCATTCGTCCTTAATTTTGAAAATTCCTCGATAACTCAGACATGTGACTATTTCATCATGGTGACCTTCGGCGCAAACATCTATTTTTATGCCCTTATACTTCCACACTTATGTGCCCTATGCGTATATATATCACTTATTATTTAATCTAATACCTGTATTTTTCCACACTATTAATTATCTTGTTTGAGCTGCATTACCACTTGTTGTAAATAGTACAATGAGTCAGCGTGTTTGCCTTTTTCGATCTTCCTTTTCACATCGTTTCCCTTGTTGTTTGTCTGGGATAACGATTGTGTCAATTATAAGTATCCGAAATTTATTCTTAACTCCGCCTGGAGCCCCTTTCCGGGGGCTACTGCCGGTCCCAAGCCCGGATAAAGAAGGAGGGTTGGGCATGGGGTTAGCGACCCCATCCCGCAGAAAACTAACTCGCTAAAAAAACGCTAACCAGAAAAAATTATTCAAACCATTTAAACTCGGCCCTGGGAGTCAGAAGGTCTTCGTTTAAAAGAATTATGACGCCTCATGATGAAAGCCGAGTTTCTTCGGAAGTCACGAGGCCGATGCCCCTTCTGACAACCAGAGCAACCATTTATTTAGGTACATGGAATGCTCGCACAATGTGGGAGACTGGGAGAGTTTTCCAAATTGCTGCAGAAATGAGGAGATACAATTTAGAGGTGCTTGGGATCAGTGAAACACATTGGACGTAAGTTGGACAACAACGACTAGCTTCAGGGGAGCTGCTGTTATACTCCGGACATGAATCAGAAACTGCCCCACATGCACAAGGAGTAGCATTGATGCTGTCCAAACAAGCACAAAATGCACTTATAGGATGGGAATCTCATGGACCAAGGATTATCAAAGCCTATTTCAAAACAAAGAAAGAGGGCATTACAATGAACGTCATCCAATGCTACGCGCCTACCAACGACTACAATGAAGACGCTAAAGATCAATTCTACGATAGGCTGCAGTCAATCGTCGAGAAGTGCCCAACAAAAGACCTGACTATTCTGATGGGAGACCTAAATGCCAAGGTTGGAATTGACAACACCGGATATGAAGAGATCATGGGACGACACGGACTGGGAGAAAGCAACGAAAATGGTGAGAGATTTGCAAATCTATGTGCCTTCAATAAACTGGTCATAGGCGGGACTATATTCCCACATAAACGCATACACGAAACCACATGGACTTCACCGGATCACAGCACACAGAACCAAATCGACCATATCTGCATCAACATAAAGTTCAGGAAAACAATGGAGGACGTGAGAACAAAGAGAGGAGCCGATATAGCATCAGATCATCACTTGCTGGTCGCCAAGATGAAATTGAAACTCAAGAGGCACTGGACAACGGGGAAGACAATATCCCAAAAGTTTAATACGGCTCTTCTTCGGGATACTGACAAACTCAATAAATTCAAGATAACCCTCAGCAATAAGTTCCAAGCCTTTCATGATCTACTCAATGGAAAAGGAACTACTATGGAGAGCAACTGGAAAGAGATAAAAGAAGCAATCACTTCAACATGTCATGAGGTTCTGGGCCAAAATAAGCACCATCACAAGGATTGGATCACGGTCGATACACTGAATAAGATTCAAGAAAGGAGGAACAAGAAAGCAGCAATCAATACCAGTCGAACAAGAGCAGAAAACGTCAAGGCACAGGCTGAATACACAGAAGTAAACAAGCAAGTGAAAAGGAGCATCAGAACTGACAAACGTAAATATGTGGAGGATTTGGCATTGACGGCGGAAAAGGCTGCCAGAGAAGGAAACATGAGACAACTGTATGAAACAACAAAGAAACTCTCCGGAAATCACCGTAAACCAGAACGACCAGTGAAAAGCAAGGAAGGCAAGATAATCACCAACATTGAAGAACAACGAAACAGGTGGGTAGAACACTTCAAAGAACTCTTGAATCGACCAGCCCCACTGAACCCACCCAACATCGAAGCAGCACTCACGGACCTCCCAATTGATGTTGGCGCACCGACAATTGAAGAAATCAGCATGGCTATCAGACAAATCAAGAGTGGCAAAGCAACAGGACTAGACAGCATTCCAGCAGAGGCACTGAAAGCAGACGTAGCGGCAACTGCAAGGATACTCCAAACTCTCTTCAGAAAGATCTGGGATGAGGAACAGGTACCAAAAGACTGGAAAGAAGGACTTCTAGTCAAAATACCAAAGAAAGGCGATCTCAGCAACTGTGACAACTACAGGGGAATCACTCTTCTTTCAATACCAGGAAAAGTCTTCAACAGGGTATTGTTAAACAGGATGAAGGACTGTGTAGACGCACAGCTTCGAGACCAACAGGCAGGATTCCGTAAGGATAGATCGTGCACAGACCAAATCGCAACTTTACGGATCATTGTGGAACAAGCAATTGAATGTAATTCATCGCTCTACATCAACTTCATTGACTATGAATAAGCATTTGACAGCGTGGACAGAACAATATTATGGAAGCTTCTTTGAC